TTCTTTTAAAAGGATTCATGTGCCTCTACATTTACATTATAGTTGAACTAAAAAGTGATTCAATCTTGTCTTGTGAGACACCAACATTCTAGTATACATCTCATATATTATAAATTTGTTTTTATTTTTCGTTTCGAGTTATAGTAAAATGTTTTTAAGAGATAAATGTACAAAATAGAATGTAAAAAAAACAGAAAAATTATTGAAAGTAATTATATTGTTTCGTGGAATAATCGGTGTCACTATAGAATTTCTTTATAGGATTACCAACATCGTCTACTACTTGTGTAAAAATTAAATTGATAATAACTCTAGGAGTCAAAAAGACCACCGTTGATATGACACTTTTTTAATTTATTACTCGATTGATAAAATAGAAGAACCAACAGTTCAATATCATTTATCATGAATTCGAAACACTTTGAAAAATATTCAGTTACTACTGATTCCTATACCTGCGGCTAATTTAATTTTTTTCTCCTAAATATATACAACNACTGAACTGTGTAGAAAATTTCATCGCGATTGGACTCTCCTTTCAAAAGTTATCGTGTTAACGGCCGGACGGCCGGACACACTGACCGATTCTAGAGTGTACTCACTTTTTGAGTACACAAAAATCTATCCGAGTATGACCATTTTGTGGGGTGTGGATGTTGTTCTTTTCTTTACATAACCACACATCATCTAATTTCCCGTAAGATCATATACAGAATCATATGTCACATTCGTTCAGAGATTTCTTCTAGTTCTCTCAGTTCCATTGGTTCCTTGTATACCCCTCACAATCCATCTCATTCAATCTTCTGACTAGAGTCGAAACTGGTTGTGGCGATTGTATTTCACTTGGAAGATAGTTATGTGAAGTCTTGTTTTTCTTATTCGTCTTGCCTTACCCAAGCCTATCATGCCTTGAACAACAGAGATTGAATATACGAAAAAATAAATAGTTACTAATATCTGTTTGCTTATATAGAAAAGTTCTCATTTTAGGCTAACTATCAATCAATAACTAGATTCGATTCGTGTTTTTCTATAGTTTTTATTTTTAAACAAGAATACAACATAGTTTTTCATTTTTCCCATTTACGATAATATAAAAAATTTGTGTGCTTGATTAGTATGTATATTGTTCATGATTGTTTTCGATGATGATGTCTTGAGCTAATACAGGAAAACAAATTAGCAATCCTCCATCCACACCCTCGTTGCATGCGCGATCCATGTTGTTTCCACATATTTGCTGTAGTTATACGGTGGGAACATTTTTTTGTAGACGATCTGACATATGTATGTTCATCGTCCATCGCGCCTTGTGTACCATAAAAAAGTCTTTTAATATGTACTGAACTGTTTTAATTTTATCAGGAACTCCGAAATGTAAACTGGTTCTTCCTACGAATCTTACATAGGTATCCTAGCTAAGGTTTTGATCATCTATCTGTAAGAAGAACCATTTTAGATTTCACAGCTTCTATCAAACTTATACAGGTCTGATATTACATCGAATTTTTTTAGAGCTTTATTGTTTATCTCTCGATTATTGAATTGCAATCATAAAACAAAATATCTTTTATCTAACTGTCATCCATCATCCTTTTTAAATAATGGCAAGATAATAAATTAGCAATTCTTTTTAAAAATAAGAATTATTTGCTTAAGGTTTCACTCGTACAAAACTTATTTGAAACAAAAACATAAACATTTTTGAAATGCAATGATAGTCTCAGCCACAAATAACCAAGGAGTAAACAGCTGATTCAAATTCATTAAAAATGATCTTGAAATATGTAAGACAGCTCAACGACATCAAAAATAGCTGATGATAATCAAAAGTGCCTTTTAAACAGCCACGAAACTTTGTAAATTATGCTTCCATTATTAATACTCTGAATTCTAAGGCTCAGCTTTAGTGGTTTTCGAATTATTTGCGCAAATTTTAGATGAACTCAAATCAGTTTATTGATTTGAAATATTGTGATATTATCAAATTGAGTTTTGCTTATCTAATATCTACCGATTCTCTACAGTTTCTTTTAAGGTAAGAGTAG